GAGAGAGCATCAAAGTATCTTCATTTACGACCCCAGCAGCCCCAGGACGCTGAGCCCTTACCTGCGCTGTGGTTCTCTTTATTGTGCATGCCGGGTTATCTTCGTCTTGACACGGACAGAGGCTCGTTCGCGCGGGGACCTTGCCAACACGCCCACACCATTCTTTTGAAAAGCTGCTAGGAGATCGGGGTGACCTAGCCTGGCCCTCAGCTTCCCTCTTGGGCGAATAGTCTAGGTCTAGGAGCTGACTGAGAGCAGAAAAGACAACATTCCCCTTCAATACGCTGTCGAGGTGGGGCCCACAAAGCGCACGGCGACTCTGCCTGGGCCAAGGGCGGCCGCCACGGCAACCCCACACAGTTACACCAAGGGAGGAGAGGAGAGGAGAGGGGTGGAGGGCGCACGCCAGAGGCCGGCCTTGTCCTCACACCTCAGCCAAAACCACCTGCCGGATGGATCACAGACACTTCTGTTTCTTGAAACACACTGTTTAACACGCACGCGGAGTCTGAAGAGCCGGGGCTGGCTGGACAGTGTCCCACGGGGAGGATGGGGACCGTCTCGGGCTCTCCAGAACGCAGCATCGCCACCAGTTACCGGTCAAGTTTTACCTGTCCAGTGACTGCCCTTCCGACTGCATCCAATTCATCCAGAGTTCAAGCACTGCTCTAAGCAATGTGAAACACAGTGATCTCGCTCATCAGAGGAAGCTTTAGCCAAGTCCAGGCTGAAAAACAGCCTCTAAGGATGTTCTCAAGGCATGTCACGGAAGTGAACATCCACGTATTTCACCAACAATTTCTTTGCCTATTAAGAGGTCTGAAGCCATCAAACTTTCACCCACACTGTTTCTACCTGATGCTAAAATATACAGCTGATCAGTCATCACGACTAGGGCTGAGCGTGGAGTTCTCTGTCACCTCCACTGCAATGATTAAAAACTGTCTACCTGGGGCTGGAGCAATGGCACAGCGGGTAGGGTGTTTGCCTTGCACACAGCCGACCCGGGTTCGATTCCCAGCATCCCATATGGTCTCCTGAGCACCGCCAGGGGTGATTCCTGGGTGCAGAACCAGGAGTAACCCCTGTGCATCATTGCCAGGTGTGACCCAAAAAGCAAAAAAAAACCCGTCTACACCTCAAACAACTATAACAGAACCATTTCCCAAACACCATTGGTTTATAATAAATGTGTACAAGAAATATTTTTGAAATACTGTTAACATTTATATATAAAAGAAAACTATTTGAAACAAAGATGAAGATGCTCTATTACGGAACTTAAACCTCCGGTGAGAAGGTAAATGATTTCATTTGTTCTATTGCAAATAGAATTGTGTGGAAAAATAAACTTATTGTTAAAAATAGAGCACCAAACAGTGCCATAAAATCAATCACATCTCCTAAAATACAAAATATTTCATTTCAACTCTGAATTTGAAACTCATACCTCAAATAAACGTTAAGTACAGTGTTGCCCTGACCACTCACCCTGCCCTCCGCAAGGGTAGGCAAGCTCTGGAATAAAAGGGCGGTCATGGTAAGAGAATGCCTTAAGTCCAATTTGAAGGAAAGGAAGGATTAAAAAATAAAAAGGGTACTTCATCTTTTGGATCTGGAACTAAGCTGTTAGGCTGTAATTCACTTGAAGTTCATTGCTGAGGAGAAATACTAGAATAAATGACTGTTTGCCATATCAGGACTACATCAGAAATAAGTTTGTTTTTTTAAAAAAAATTGTTTACCTCATGTTCTGTAACATATTCAATTCTCAGTTTATCCATTTGGGAAACAGAAAAACCAGAGTTGGGTCTAGGGTGGCGAATAAACCGTTAGAAAGGTATATGGCACATAATAAAGACAACGCACATTTGGCGCTGTTATTTTTATCATCTCATTGCAGTATCGTGTCTCATCTACAACCCAGACTACCTAGAAACCAACAAAACATTTCACAAAGGGGCCAGAGTGGTAGTCCAGTGGGCAGGGTGTTTGCCCTGCACAAAAGCCAACCCAGGCTGGACCCCCGGCATCCCACAGGGTCCCCCGAGCAAAGCCAGGAGTGACCCCTGAACGTCGCTGGGCATAACCCCCGCCACACACCAAAAAACAAACCTCACAGACACAGTGGTCTTCTTCTCTAATAAAAACCTTCAAAAAATTAGACTTGGACACTCATCTGGCTGATGAGACCAGAATATCTTCAAATCAGTCTTGGTGCCGCTGGAGAGAAGATGTATTCTACTGGGCAAAATTCATGCGAGAAAATGGCATGTCCCACAGCATGAGAGGAAGCCAAGGACTCGCATGGGCACGTGTGTTACAGAAGCACAAACACACGGTGGTGAGCGCGACTCAATGCAGGACAGACAGAAAGGTCACACCAGCCCCACGTCAGAAATAAAGGGTCACAAGTCCAAGGTATTCCCTTGACTGACACAAAAAGTCTGTAAGGACAGACAATTATTTTAATTCAAGTTTACTTTTTTTTTTTTTAAAAAAAAAGAGGGGCATTATTTCAATACTCAGGAAACAAGTTTCCTTTATATACATAAAAAACACATTTGTACTTTTTTTAAGAACCCATCTTACATTATTTATTCAAGTGCTGAGTGGTCTGAATTCCCCCCCGCACCCCACTATATTTTGTTTTGTTTCGGAGTCATACCCGGCGATGCACCGGGGTTACTCCTGGCTCTGCACTCAGGAATTACTCCTGCTGGGGCTCGGGGGACCCTATGGGATGCTGGGAATCGAACTCGGGTCTGCCGCATGCAAGGCAAACGCCCTACCCTACTCCGGCCCCACCAACAGTATTTTGGAGTTCACTATAATCTCCAGTTGACAATGTATATAAAGTTTAAATCATAAATAACTGATAAAAAAAAGTCCAAATAATAAAACTGGGAGAGGATTATGTTTTAACTATCCTTTCTGTGTTATAGAGTCATCATAACATGGTTCTAAGGTGAAACAAGACCAATTAATTTTCCAGGGCTAGTTAATACAATTATTTTGATGGCCCACACACAATCAAAAATAATAAAACTGCTTGAAAATGGGACTTAAAAAAAAGGTCACTTGCACAGCTATGTTTCCAAGTTAAATGAAGACTAGAATTATTTGTCACAAATTCCAACAAAGTTACAAAGAAACAAACAAAACATTGGAAAACTCTTGTACCTTTGTAATTCATCATAAAAACCAAATTACGCCTTTTAAAAAAGGGATACTACTTATCAACTTTCAACCACTCACCAGGCTTTAAGAAAAAATGGGATTTTCCTATCTTCCAGTTCTTGAATATTAGATACCTTTATAATTACCAATATGCAATTAATATTTTATAACACTATTTGAAAGTCATAATAGACACTTCTGGAAAGATTTTTTTTCAGATTTTTTTTTAGGTTACTTTAGTAATATGAAAATATTGTTTGGTGGGGGGGACCCATTATAAGGGACTGGAGTAGAGTATGGAGGTCAGACCCTGGGTATCAGGGTCCCCATTGCGTCACGGGTGCAGCCTGAGAAGCTCCGAGACACTGCCTGGAGTGGGGGTCAGCCCCCGCCCCAGCCCCGACTGGGGTCACCTGGGTAATCCCTTGCATGGAACTGCCGGCCAGACTGACTGAGAATCACCAGGAGTGGGCTGGGAACTAAATTTAAAAAGAAGTTGTGAGACTTCAGTAACAACAGTGATCATCTATTTTAACCATGAATAGGAAAACCAATAAAAATTGCAAACATTTAGATCATTCCTGCCACTACAGTTTGATTCAATAATTTTAGGAATGAGAAAAGGAATACTGTTCATTAAATAAAACGGAACCCAAAAATGCAAGCCAAGGAGATACAATCGTTTCATGTTAGCAGGAAACAATGGTATAAAAAAATTTTAATGGTGAGGAATTTAAATATAGAACATAGCGTGTAAAAACTTATTTGCTATGAATCATTCCAATTATGCCCACACTATAACGCTTTAAATAATGACAAATTTTAATGTTTCTCGGAACCACACCCACCGTCGACAATACATGGGCTTCTCTCCAGTGAATGACAATCCAGTGGGGAAGTCAACTGAAACTTTCCAACATATTAAGTAACAACAATAATAATGGTAATAATGGAAATAAATTAGTTTCTTTGACACTTCTATGAAGGTACTTCAGTGATTCAAAAATCTTCCTTGTGTTTGTTCTACTTGACTAAAGAAAGATCTAGAACTCAATTACCTGAGCACTGGTATAGTAACACATAAAATGTAGCATTAATATGTAAGAGACCTTACAAGGTCTTAAAACATTTGCTTGTATTCATGTTACTAGTTTATTTTCTAAGTCCAAAGGTAGTCAAAAGGTCCTTATACAAGTATATCTCAACAGAAAAGATACTTTAAAAACAACAGAAATTCAATTCATGCAACAAAACTCTACGGCTTGAATAAGCAACATAAAAATACATCATCTACATCCTCGTAAGCACTTACCAAGGTAGCCCCGAGTGACAGGACACGGGACGGAGGCTACGATGGAATCCCAACTTCTCCTAATACAACATGCTAAAAATCATTTCAATTTCTCACTGTTATTTCTGGAAACCGAGTATGAACCGACATGGTAAAGCACTTGAAAGAGGATTCTAACTGCACAATGTTAATTATACATAAAGACAAGCGTAAAGAACACGGTATTTAGAAAACTGATACGGAACACTCAAGCAATCGACTCAAGCTGATTGAATTACAGACGAAGTATGACTTGAGCGGTTCTTGGCAGATCCTAGCTCGGCTGTCTGGGTTTTCACTCGTGTCGCACGAGGCAGACACGAGATCCACTTCCCTCGGGAAGGCTGAATTCAGAGAATTCACACGTGCTGGGAGAGAGGGACACGCACGCACACACACACACACACACACACACACACACACACACACACACACACCCCACATAAGATCTGTCAATTACTTTTCAAATCAAAAGGATAGATATACTTACTTATCAAAGCTATCGCTGTTTTTGATGAAGCTCTCCAATTTTTCCTTGGCATATTCAACCACATCTGAGTGCAGCTCGATCCCATGATTTATTCCAAAAGGACCTGCAAACACAGCACCAGCATTTGTATGAAAAATATTAACAATCCTTTTTTTGCTGCTTTTCATACAGACTCATTTCGCTATCTCAGGACATTTAAAGAAACCTGAACTGGGGTTGAAGCGATATTACAGTGAATAGGGCGTTTGCCTTGCACATGGTGGTCCCGGGTTCCGATTCCCAGCATCCTATATGGTCCCCCGAGCACCGCTAGGAGTAATTCCTGAGTCCAGAACCAGTAATTTCCCTGTGCATTGCTGGGTGTGACCCAAAAAGAAAAAAAAAAACTTAAACTATGCAAACCAACTGAAACCTCACTGCTCCAAATTAAAAAAAAAAAAAAACCAGGAAACATACATATTACAGAATTCTTTCAAGGGAGTAGCTCACCTGCTTTGACGCTGCTGCCAAAGAAATCATGGTGTTTCTATAGGAAGTTTAAAAGCTCAACACTGCAATTTCATTTCGCATCTGTAAGTTTTGGTCATTGAAAAATCCTGAAACTGGGGGCCGGAGGATAGTTCCGTGGGGAGGGCATCTGCCTTGCATACGGCCGACCCGGGTTCAATCCCCGGCACCCCATATGGTCCCATGAGCACCGCCAGGAGTAATTCCTGAGCGTAGAGCCTGGAGGAACCCCTGAGCATCACCGGGTGTGACCCAAAAAGCAAACAACGAAAAAAGAAAAATGCTGAATCAAGGGACTGCAAACATGAGCCTCGTAGCACCCACAGCCTCCCCAGGAGTGTTCAATTCCTATGGGGCCAAGGAGTAGCTGGCAGAACCAACCACCAGGCTGCAGGCTGGCTCTACTTGGTGTTCTAGACCGCAGGCTTTCCGCTTGGTGCTTCAACATGCAAGCACTGATTACGCAGCTCTGTGGCACTGTCCTCCCGCTTTTCATCAATTTGCTCAAGCGGACCCAGTAATGTCCCCATCGTGAGACTTGTTACTGTGTTTGGCAAATCGAATACGTCATGGGGAGCTTGCCAGGCTTTGTTGTGCAGGTGAGATACTCTCAGTAGCTTGCCGGGCTCTCCGAGAGGGACGTAGGAACCAAAACCGGGTCGGCCGCGTGCAAGGCAAATGCCCTTTTTCTCCAGCCCAGAAATGGAGAAAAAATTAACCGCAGCACTGAGAGTGGAAGGTGAGGACTCTCCTCCACGGCTCCCCTCCTCCGGGAAGCACCTGCTCCTGCTCTCAGTCGGCTGCACGCGTCCTGTCAGATCCCTGAACTGGGCCGCTTTCACTCTACCCTTGTGCCGTCCTTCTGCTTTTAGTTTGGTCTCCTAGAAAAATGTGCTGATTTTCTGCATCTTACGGATACACTTTCCGTTCCTCGTGTTAAGAACTACGTCCCTTCATATATGCCACTTTGTGTTTTAAAATCTGTTGGAATTCTTCCAACGTCTCCACATTTTCCGATCGTAAGTCGGTGCTTGGGGCTCCCATTGAGCTCTGGGCTCGGAGCACTCTGGCGGCTCTGGGTACCATCTGGGATGCCAGGACTGAACCCGGGCTGGCCTTGTGCAGAACACGGCCCTACCCGCTACTGCTCAGCCCACTCAACTGCCAGCTTTCTTCTGGGAAAACGACAAGAGCCATCCAACATCACTTAAAACATAAGTTCTCACCAACTGCACATGTAAGTTGAATAAAGCTGACGCTCCCTTTTACAGAAAGTAGAAAAAATTTGAAAAGCACAAAAAGCAATGTCAGATTTTAAGAGTTGAATCCATGCATGCTGAGAACTGTTTTATAAGAAAACCGCGTTAGAAAAAAACAGTGACATCTTCACCACTTAAAATATTACAAAGCTAATTGCTTAATATGTTGTTCAAATAAAAATACTGTTCTGTAAATGAACAGAATCCCGTTTTTCATCTTTTTATTTTCTTTAAAAAGGTTCAGGAGACTTTTACGTTTTCATTAAAAACCCAGCTGTACTAATTAACTCTTATTTTTTCTAAAAACTTATGAGTGCATGGCTAACTGCTCAGTAAAAATTATTGCTAGAGTTAGAAGTTTCTTGTAAACCTGAATACACATCCCACATAATAAAGATAAGAAGAATTTGGAATTGTTTTCTGTTCATAGGAGGTCTAACTTCTGCGTTCAGGGACAAAGCAGCCCTAGAAGCTGCTTGTCGCCAAGACAACACCGGCCTCTACTTACTCTGAGCTCACTCTCTAAAGTCAAAGTCATGGCTTCTGGAAATAAGACTTTTAAGTTCAACTGCTTCAGAACATTTACCCAAAAAAAACCATTTTTCATATCACCTTCATACAACACAGTCTCAGTAACACAACGTATACATTAATTTCTAGCACAAACAGGATTTGGGACTTGGATGAAATTTTTTAAAAACCATGGAAACACATCTTTATCACAACTGAACCTAATTAACATGGTGAAAATGAGAAAAACGCATTAATGAACTTAAATAGCAATGCCATCAATCTTATTTACGTGAACTACAAGTAGAACACACGAAGCATCTAGTAAAATGTACTGCAATACTATTTATTATAACTCATAGTTCACATCTGGGGCGGGAAAAGAGAAAATAAACCAGAGAGAAGATGTAAAAAGCTACTTCTTTTTTTTTTTTTTTTTTTTTTTTTTTGCTTTTTAGGTCACACCTGGCGATGCTCAGGGATTCCTCCTGACTCTGCACTCAGGAATTACTCCTGGTGGTGCCCAGGGGACCATATGGGATGCTGGGATTCGAACCCGGGTTGGCCGCATGCAAGGCAAATGCCCTACCCGCTGTGCTATCGCTCCAGCCCCCAAGAGCTACTTCTAAGCCTGAGAAAGAGACATTTTCATCATTGCACCCTCCTGTCTAAAAAGTCTTAATCACATGTGTGATTTTTCAACAAGAAATGGACTAGTCAAGAGATGAGCATTAAAAAAAAAAGAGATGAGCATAAGTTTATAATTCTACAGAAGTATGAGAGTAACTTTAAATAATCTTCTATAAGACACAAACTGTCAATGTTAAAAAAAAAAAAAAGTAGCCAAGAGGCTGCTATTCCATCTAAGAAATGAAGGACTGGTTTGATTTTGTATTTAATAGAGTTCAGCATTTTGTTTTTGTCTATATGAAGAGAATTTCCCAACAAGGTGCCTAATTTTCGGTCTGTGTGTGTGTGTGTGTGTGTGTGTGTGTGTGTGTGTCTGGGTGCAGGGTTACTGTGTGTATGTGTCTGGGTGCAGGGTGACTCTGTGTGTGTATGTTTGTGTCTGGGTGCAGGGTTACTCTGTGTGTGTGTGTCTGTGTGTGTGTGTGTGTGTGTGTGTGTGTGTGTGTGTGTCTGGGTGCAGGGTTCCTGCAGTGCCCAGCTGGACACGGCCAGCCACGTGAGGAGCTTGGTCAGGCCACTGAACCCTCCCTCTTGCTTGCCTCCGTGTACACTGTCTGACGATACCAGCAGCTGACAACTATTTCAACAGTCAAAACTGAACATGCAGAGACAGAATTCATTTTATAAGATAAACTTGATGAGAAACATCTAGTATCGTGTAATATCAGAAATGATTTGGCGGCTGGCAAAAACCCATGTACATAGACCATAACAGGCAAAGCTTTTAATACAATCAAACACTGTTTTCCTTTTGTGGCACTTGCTTCTAATCTGGCTTATTATCCTCAAGTTAATTCTGATGATTAGAATCACCATAAATTATCTGTGCCGTAGCTACAACTCTCTCATTTACATCAGTGCCGAGCCACCTATTACCACCTAAGGCTCCAGCATCCCCATACTCCAGAACACCCAAAGGCCGAGTGGGAAGAGTGGGACAGAAAGAAGTTCTCGGTTTCTCCAGCGTTTGTATCAACGCAATTTCTAGAACATACCCGCACTGGGCTGGGGCGACAGCACGGCGGGTAGGGCGTTGGCCTTGCACACGGCCGACCCAGGTTCGATTCCACGCATCCCACATAGTCCCCTGAGCACCGCCAGGAGTAATTCCTGAGCGCAGAGCCAGGAGGAACCCCTGAACATCGTCGGGTGTGATCCAAAAAGGGAAAACAACAACAACAAAAAAGAACAAAGCCGCATGCGAACAGCACTTCACCATGCAGAACCAGAATCGCTCCAACGATGAACTGATCTAAGGTCCATTACTCCTCCCTGGAAATGCAGGTGTCGGCTGTGAGCCGTGAGACGGCGGTGGATTTAGGGTTAGATGCCAGTGCCCAGTCCTGTCCTCCTGTGACCCATCACGTGCCACGAGAAGTTTTTCCTATGGCGAAAAATGTGCCCAAGAAAAATCACAGAAAGTATAGAAAAGTGCTTCTCACACCGTCAAGTAGAAGCAGGGGATAAACTGTGCCCCTTTGCTTGCGGACGTAAGTGCTGGGCTATAAAAGCAAAACCATGACCGCTAAAGGTTCTTCTCCACCTGACCCTGCGGATTAGAAGACGGGACAGTTTGGGTCCGACTTAGAAGCAGATGAAATTTAATTTGATTTCATCTGTAAACGTCTGGGTACCACCCACGGGATCCAGGACATCCTCCTGCGCTGCGGGGAGCCCCGCAGGCAGCGGAAGTGTCCACTAGCCGGGCCCCGACCAGGTGATGCGTGAAACTCGCACTGTCCAAATGGTCCTTCTAGCCGGGAAAGTGGTGCCAAGGGTTTGCAACTCTGAGTGGACACATTCTGGATTCGAACCACTGACCACAAGAGGGAGTAGTGATTTTTTAAATCACACTAAGATTTTTTTTTTTAAGGAGAAAATGGACTGGGCAGATCATTAACTAAACAATAAATATTAATTTAATGTCACTGCTACTTATTTTAAAAAAAAAAAAGTCTTTGTTTCTCCACGCTCCTCTCAAAAAAAATAAATCGTTTTCTTTCTTGAACGCGTATTCCAGAAAGACACAAATACTGTTAACATTTTACTGAGTCTTGTCACGCTGGCTTAACCCTGCTGAAAGCAGGTAAATCCAGGAAGCTGAGAGCCGTTCTCTGTTCTCCGGGTCTCCTGAGTG